ACTGTTTGTAGACGTTTCCTTGGTATGTCGGGCGAAAAATTAAAATATATAAAAAATGCCGTCTTTTAAAATAAAAAACAAATCTGCCATATCTGTTACATATTTCGTTATAATGTATAAGTTAATAGAACAGAAAAATCGCGAAAGAAATAAAAAACGCAAATTTTGAGTGTCCAATTTTTTAAAAACAAGAAGTTCAGTGCATGTAGTTTGATATAAAAACAAATGATAGAAATAGTTTGTTTAAAAACTTTACGCGAACTTCAGAAATATCCAGATGTGATACAAACTATAGACTGTGGGTTCCTCCTGAAATTAGATTGGCGATATTAGAAGCTAACGTATATCATTCCAAGTATCTTGTTTTCTAGTTTTTATGTGATAGAAGCCACGTTTTGGACCCCATAATTCTGGTTTGGTCTTATATATACATATACAGGGTGACTTTGAAGTTGAGTCATTAATTTTCAGATAATGATTGTAGAAGGAAGATAAACCAAAATATGTGTGTAAAAATAAAAAAAAAATAAAAAAAAAATGTTACCTTGTTTAATAAAGTATCCTCCCGACAAGTATTTCAGTGCGGACCTGTATTTGATCGTGCAGTCTTGGAGCACCGGCATGCTCTCACCTGTGAGGTCTTGAGTCACCTGATTCACGAGCCCTTTGTACTACATTAACAAAGGCACGAGGGGTTGGTTGCACTCGATTGGGAAACCGATTCGCATAAATCCGTGATGCATCCGGCAGCATTTTGTAAAGACTGCCCCCCCGTAAATAAGAATCATGTTCACAAGTTCAGCATTTTCGTAAACATGTGCCATTTTTCATTTCGTTTGAGTCACGCAACAAACATCACTATTCACCCACGCGTTACCGACTGACGAAAAACAACGTGATAAACGTTTCAAATTCTTTCGCTTTTTTGTTTCCGATGCGATGAACCGATATCCGTTGTTGCCAAACACATAATATTATTATTGAGACAGGGCGGTACTCAAACTTCTAAAGGGCTATAACTTTGTTACTTTAATTTTACCAGAAAAATGTTAAAGGAAAAAAACATTTCTTTTGATCAGATCTACTCACTGTTAAAATAAATGACTCAACTTCGAAGTCACCCTGTATTTATGAGTTGTATACACCTTACATTATCCAACTCCATGATAGCCTAATATCTATTAATAAAAAGAGTAAATAACCAAAACAGTTCTTGAAAACCTAACCTAAATAATCAAGAAACCAATATGTAAAATTATATTTACCATTTATTTATTTCTTCGGTCCACACCAAAATTGTAAAAAATCCACAAACAAGTACAAATCGTTTGATGTTACCGACTTTGGATGAAACGCTGACAAACACCTACAAGTCCACGCCAAACACGCGCTGCATTTGAATACATTTACAAACATTTATAAACATTTTGCGCGTTCGGTGAGTACGCGCCTTAAGCCAAAATGTCTCCATGTTGCATGCACACGCATTACCTCGCTAGTCCGTGTATCCCCCTATAGTCCCACGGTACCCATGGATGTTTAGACCTTGGGCCTTCATGGTGGTTACTAAAAAAAAGTATCCGGTCTGAGAACCTCAGCACTGGTGAACAAAATTAAAATAATTTTTTGTGACATGGACAAAACAAGGTGGTTATTATGTAAAACGTACTCAAAAAGCCGGAAATAGCATTCGATTTTTTCTATCACCCACAGTTTACTTGCAATAAGGCATTTTATTTACTGCTTATACTCGTAAAGGATTGTCCAATAGGGACGCAGAAAAGTAAACGTCAATTTGACATAGACGCCATCTTTGTTTTCTGTCACCGACATGTCATTTTGTTAGTTGAATGTTTACCATTGATCGCTATGGAGTCGTATTTGATTGAAGACCGCATTAAAGTTATTCAAGAGCACTACAAAAATAGTGCAAAAATAAAAAACACGTTTCGCGCGCTTCGTGAACATTTCGGTCGCAACAACCGCCCAAACGAAACAACCATCGGTCGTCTGGTGCGTAAATTCGAGGCAACAGGTTCTGTGGCAAATCTGCCAGGCTCTGGCCGGCCAAGGAGCGTTCGCACACCGGAAAATATTGCTGTTGTGAAGGAGAGTGTGAGAGACGATCCGAAACAATCAACAACGCGTCGATCCCAAGAATTGGGCATTTCGAGAACCAGTTTGCTCCGCATTCTCCACAAGGATTTGAATGTACACGCCTACAAGATCTAATTGACGCAAGAGCTGCGTCGGGCCGACCATTTTTCGCGCCGAACGTTCTCAGATTGGCTCCTTGAACACCGTCAAATTGATGCCAATTTTTCATCAAAAATCATGTTCAGCGACGAAGCGCATTTCACTTTGAATGGGACGGTAAACAAGCAAAACTGCCGCATCTGGGCGAACGAAAATCCCCGTGAGTATCAAGAGCAGCCGATGCATCCTCAAAAAGTGACTGTGTGGTGTGCATTGTGGTCAAAAGGCATCATCGGACCTTACTTTTTCGAAAATGCGGCCGGGGACGCCGTTACCGTCAATTCTGAGCGATATCACGTGATGATAGAGGACTATTTTTTGCCGCAACTTGAAGGAATGGAAATGGACGATGTTTATTTCCAACAAGACGGTGCAACATGCCACACAACCAACGTCAATATCCATCGATTGCAGTCCTTCTTCGGTGATCGCGTGATTTCGCGCAGAGGAAATGTGCCATGGCCACCAAGATCGTGCGATTTGACTCCCTTGGACTTCTTTTTATGGGGATATTTGAAAAGCAAAGTCTACGTCAACAAACAGGCCACTCTCCAAGAACTCAAAAACAACATCATTGTCGAGATAAATGCCATGCAAAATGTCATTGAAAATTTCGACCATCGCGTGGACGTCTGTGAATCCAGTCGTGGTGAACAATTGAGTGATATTATTTTTCATACATAAATGGTATAAATGAACCTTCAAAATAAAGTACCCAACTTGATTTGAATATCAATCTTTCTTGTTGTAATATGCGTTTACTTTCCTGCGTCCGTTTTGGACAACCCCATATAAGGATGTGGGTGTAAGAGTAGTAACAGTAGAATAAACATTAATATCAGGATGTTGTTGTCGATGTTGTGCTCGTAATTCAGTTTCATTTAGAGCACTGTCAAGTACATCATTCTTCATGATTTTCCGTATTTGTGGACCCACAAATATGTCCTCTTTAATTTTTGTCTCGCTAAGTCTCGGAAATGTTTGCTTTAAACTCAGAAACCCTCTTCCATTTCGATCCAGAGCTTTCACAAAAATTTTCATCAGTCCCAACTTAATATGTAAAGGTGGAAGCAACACGTTTTTGGCATCAATTAGTGGTTCATGAGCAATGTTTTTGAGGCTCCTTCTGTTCATAACGACTCTCTCGCGTAAGACGGTCCCATTCACAAAGAAAACAACAATATTTGGTATAACTTAGTTGCACTCCAAGAAGAAGGGCTATTACCTTTAAATCTGCACATATGGCCCATCCATATTCATTATAACGAATATGCTCTAAAAGAATCCGCATATTTTGATATGATTCCTTCATATGAACTGCGTGCGCTATAGGTACAGATGGAGATGTATTACCGTTGTGTACCAACACCGCTTTTAAACTAAGCTTAGACAAATCAATGAACAGGCGCCAATCATTTGGATCATGTTTCTGTCCTAACGCTTAAAACAAATTGTTGACATCGGAGCAATATATCAACTCCCTCTCTTGACGGAAACAGTGTGTGAGGTCATGTTGCCGTTTTCGGTAAAAAGTAATGTTAACATCACCGTGGAGAATATTCCATCCTTTTGATCTTGACGCTAAAAGTTCTGACTGGGATTTTGACAGATTTAATTCTCGAACTAAGTCATTAAGTTCGCCTGTGTGATCAAATGCGGCGCTGTTGAACATCCTGGCAGGTCAAACACAGGATCAGAAATTTTCATCCAAAGACCAAGATTCTGGTGGACCTGGGATAGAAAGTTCATCACTAAGCTTAACGGGCCGCAAGGTGATGGTAAATTAAAATACTTAACAGTATGTTTGATTTTGGTCCAATACCTTTAATATTTGTGAGGCAAAAATAGCAATCAGTAGTGAGCTCTCTCGGTTCTCTCCAAATCATTGGTACAGCAAAGGGCATTTTACGATTGTCGCCTCTTAACAACGTGACACAAGTCTTACTACATGTATGAGGGCCCATAGTTTATCTTGGTCGCCAATTTTAATTCCCAAATAAAATTCGTATGCTTATAACACAAGGGGAGTAAAAGTACGTTTTTGGGATTTAAAAGATAGCTCTCCGCACACATAACAAAAACTGTTCGCACTATTTACACAATTTCTAGGCATTGTGCATAAAGCTAGTCTCGATCACAATAAACTAGAAACAACACACCGTTTTAACAAAAAATAACAGTACTCAGAACATCTCAGTACTCTTCAACACAGAAAACGTAACTGACTCGGCTGCTATTAATCTACTAATAAACGCTCTCTAAACATAGAGCTCGCATATAATAAACAGGAATATACAGGTCTTAACATTATATATGTACGTATTGTAATTCATAAAGTAGATGTTACCCAATATCTGTGGGTGATGGAAAAATTATGTTTTTAGATTTGATTTAAGGGTCTCAAAATACATAAGATACACCCAAAAATTATCATGTCACAAATCCTGTGTTTATCAGTGCAATCAACACTTCTTCCCTCTATCGCTCTGAAATGCTTTGATCCCAAGAGAGCTTTCGTACAGGAAATAGAGAAATATATCATACTCAATTCTCAGAAAAATCGACTGGGACCCATTCTCCGTATGTTTTATGCGGAGTTCTTCAAGGACCTGTATTTCCTGAAGGGATTCCCCTAGGGCATTTTTTGCATGAATTTATAGCATTAATTTTTTATTGCCACCTTATTCTGATGCATATGTTTCGTTGTGATGCAAGGGAAAATTTATGATTCTGTTTCATTCCAGTTCCACATAGAAAAAGAGCACATAGGGTGGACAGAGCCGATTTTCCACCCTGTGTTCAATGAAAACGGCACCAAGGTTTTAGTACGTCTTCCAGTGAAAGATGGCGATAATGGCCATTATATGCACGTCTGTGAGATCCACAACAATAAAGTCAGGCCTCTCACTCATGGAGCCTTCGAACTCACCAGGATTTTAGCTTGGGAGGAGGAATATCAGAACATGTAAGTGATAAACTTAAGTACGAGGGTGAATCAAATAAAGCGAGACTTTTCGACCTTCAGGCACAATAGTGGAGGGAGAACGTTCCCGCTATGTTTGTCAGGAGTAGGGGAAACACGCGGGCTCGCCTCCTCGACCCGCTCAGTGTCCACCGTAACGATGTCGGAGCAAGAGGTACCTCCGTCAATTGCGCAACGTATTGTAATCAAGTGTCTCGCCGCAGAAAGCGTAAAACCGGCCGAAATCTTGAGGAGACTGACTACCCAGTTCGGGGAAGAGACACTGTCGCGAGAGTTTGCATGGCATAAACAGTTCGTGGAGGGTCGTGATCGTGTTGAAAATGAGAGCCATGACCGCAGACCTCGCACCAGCATTACAGCGAACAACATCAGCAGTGAAATTGCAAGTGAGGTGGGGATAAGTTATGGAAGCACATACTCACAGAGGAACTAGGGTACCGTAAGGTGTGCGCCAGGCGGGTTCCCCGCATTCTCACAGCTGACCAGCAGTTGCATCGTCTTCAGGTGTGTGGGCGTCTTCTTGCACGATTTCAGGAACAAGGAGACCAATTTTTCACTCACATCATTACCTGTGATGAAACATGGGTGCACCACTATACCCCAGAATCTAAAAAAGCCAGTATGGAGTGGAGGAAACCATGAGAACCTGGACCAGTGAAAGCCAAGTCACGTTTGTCGGCTGGCAAGGTTTTGGCTACCATTTTTTTTTACCAGAGTGGATTGCTGTATTTCGATTTTGTGCACGAGCGCAGAACAATTAATGCGGCCTACTACTGCGAGGTCTGACTTGCATATCGCCGCAAAAGACGAGACCTATCGATCAGGGAAGTGGTTCTTCTCCATGAGAATGCTCGCCTCCATACAGCAGCCTTGACTAGGGAAAAATTGGAGCAACTGGGTTGGGAAACATTGGAACACCCTCCTTACAGTCCAGACCTGTCACCCTGTGACTTTTATGTGTTTGGCCCTCTCAAGGAAGCTTTGGGAGGCCAAAGATTCGATAGTGATGCTGAGGTTGAAGCCTACGTGTGCAATTGTCTGCATCTTTCTACGTGGAAGGAATTGGAAAGCTGCCTATCCGCTGGGAAAAATGTGTTTCCAAATCAGGACATTATGTAGAAAAATAAACTATATTCTTTTTTGCGTTTAAAATAAAAATAAATTACAAAAAAAGTCTCGTTTATATTTGATTCACCCTCGTAATAACTGTTTTCGCTTTCAAATAAAATAGTACAAGGCCGGATTTATTGTCTTACATATTATGCTCCTTTCTTATTGAAAATGACGAATGCGCAACCCCGTGCACATCCGATAACGTCTAATATTTCTCAATAGAGTTCAAAGATGACCAAAATAGTTTTCGAGATTAGAAAAAATTGCATCACTCAGGTTGACTCTACTGCTAGAATGCAACGCCGCCATCAGTTCGTCAAGCAGTTCAGCACAGCTAAGACCCTACTAAAATATTGTTTATTGTCTCAAAGACGAAGCCTAGACCATGCTGATGAGTTGCTAAAAAAGTACGAAACAGCTGTCGGTGGTCGGCTCTTTTTGGTTGGACGGAGGAAAGCGACAAGTTTAAGTTAGACTCTTTAAGAAAAACTTAGTTACGAACATGTATAACAGGGAAATTAAACGGATCTAGTCCGTCAAACCGGTCCGTACAATTAGCCCATAACATCCCTGCTCTGCCCCTACTCGTAGTATCGTCCATCTGGCACGCCGAATGCCGCCGTTGGAGTCGGCAGACCCAGAGACGCTTATCGAAAACATTTTTCTATCGTTCTCGAGGGCAAAAGTACAGGACAATCTATTATGTGCGAAATATGTCTAACAGGTGCATAGAATTATCGTGATTGGAAGTGTATTAATATACTAACATCAAAAAATATCGATATTCCCGCCTACAACCCCCCTACCCTCAATTTTTCACCATTAAGAAATTTTTAAAAAATGATAATATGACACGATTTTCAAAAAATGTAAAACTTTTTCGTCCTTGGCATACTGTGAAAATTTCATCAAAATCCAACCAGAACTTTAAAAGTTGCAGACGGGCCAAGGATTAGCAGACAGACAGAAATGAGTGATGTACATACAAGAAACATAATATCTCATTTTCGAATTTTTTCGCGATTACATTACTTCCTCGCCAGCATGCGTGGGAAGTAGAAGTGTTATTTTATTTAATTACCTAACATAAGAAATCACTTGATCAGTTCTTATTTCTTAAACAGCACACTAAATGGACCATAAAAAGTATATAAAAAACATGGATAATCATCATTCTTTCATCAAGTGTGGCTCTAATATACTGCATACCCGACTTCAACAAATATCATATCCAATATTCTAGCATTGCTGTACTCCTTATTAAAAGAGTATTTGACATTATCATTCTGACGTCTGTACAGTGCACGAAAAGTAATCACAATCTCTCGGTCTGGGCCATCAAAGATGGCTTCGATTCCAACATATCCTCAAAAGCAAACATTGTAAAATAAAGACTTTTTAGAGTGCAGAAGCTGAGAAGTAAGCTCGCATATCTACTCTACAAATACAGCCATTTCGCCGCATTTCCTGGGAATTAGGTCACGTTCGAGAAATCGAGAGTAGGTAAACTATCGTATTTCCTCCTTTATACCAGCGGCGGTATTCCCCATAAAAGAGAGACGTATTCTCTGAAGCATCCCGATAATCAAAAGGATACGTGAGCGACTGGAAATGATTTATCAAAGGAAACGGGATTGTAGGATACTTGAACGTCTTTTAACGAGATCCATTTTATGCACCTATCCGAGGGATTCATTGAGGTTTAATGAGGGTCACAAAAACTGCTACATCGATAGTGGGCGCGGAGCCAAGGTTCGGTCTAGGGGCATTTTTGTTCAAGAATTCTGTGAGGGTCACTAAGCTCATTCTAAAAATATCGACTAAGGAATCTACTTCGATGTCTTGAATACCTATAGGGTAACTTTGATAAGTAATGAGGCTGGCTTCTGTGCCTAAGATTGCCAACATTTTTTAACAAGAATAAAGTATTTAAATTGAGATTTCTCAGTTTTTGAAAGTATCGGTGTTACTCAAGTGGCAATCACTTTTAGTTTTCCCGTATTTTACGTCCAAATATCTGTGCAGTCAAAGTATTTAGTAGTAACTTTATCATGGTGCCTCTGCTCCCAGATGGATGAAGTCGGTTTTAGCAGAGAGTGTCACAACTGAGAGCCCACAGTACATGAAATGCGTCTACCTCTCCGCCTGCTAAATTATAGTGGTCTACATGTTTATAGGCGGCCAGAAGGGAGGAACGTAGGGGGAAGGGACGCAGTGCCGCTTCCCTTCGCTGGGTGCGCGCTTTGAAATAATGAGGGTTTGGTACAACTACGAGGGTACTACAATATGTATTCTAAATATTTACTGCGACGAGGACTTCACAAAATTAAGATCGAAAATCACTTACAGGCAAGTTCGTTTGATCATGTAATTCTACTGTTAGTTTATACACCCCAGTGCAAGCGAATGGAGTGCCGCGAGTGAGACAGTCTCACTACTTATAAAACGCACTCTGTGTTTTTTCAAGTTACATGATATGTTTACATAATTGCAAGTTATAGGTATAGAAAAAACACGGGACCATAAAAATTGTTAAGGCAACGTAGATAAAGCCTTTTTACAACTTCCAGAGAGCTAAATCCATGAAACCTAGGCTCATATGAATGACAAAAGGTCTTAAACACGTTCGAGATTATAAAATGCGCAAGGAAGTCTTCTTTCTGATACTTCTTATGTTCTTAGTAAGACAGCTATACCTCGGAAATGATGTATTTATCTGCTCTGCCGTCTGGGCCGTTGATATATAAAGAGCACCCACTTAATAGATTAAGAGCAAAAACATGAGCCCAAATAAATTCCAAGTTTGTAAGAAGGTGCAATAAATCTCTACATGATACGTGTAGCTGGAGATGCACAATAAACCTTGAGGAGCGCCAACTCCCTTGCAACTCAATTATTATAGAAATGCAACCGACTGGTAAGATTTGGGCAAGATCATTTTAACACTTCTTTCCTCAGTATTTGTATGCTAAGTTCAATTCTCTTAAATAATCAGAACAGCATTGAAATGTCTTATAGTTAACATCGTATATCTCTTGGGACTGAAATTGGGAAAAGCAAATGATCTATTAAATATTCCAGCACGCCTTTATTTGTATAACGGGACAAAGCGGAGTCCATGAGCCCTTGTACATTGAATTGGCTCCCGCTGAGAGGGATGGTTGCATGAACAATAGCTGTCAGCAGCCGGTGGATGTTGATTTTGTTCCTGGAATTCGTCCTCTCCCGCACCGCTCCTGTTTATTAAATAATTGCAAATATTCCAGGAAGACTTGATTTTTCAGACGAATGCATGCCTGCTGCAAATGAATGAACACCTCCAACCAAAAACCACGTGATGATAAAACCCGTTCAGTACCCACTTTTTTCTTTAATTTTGGTGTGTTGTTCTATTAAAAGCTTAATAACTCAACATACAGTGGTTTTATCTGAATCAAACCTTACACCAAAAAATTGAATCCAAACTTGCACAAATATACAGGGTGATGCTTTTGAAATGTTTGAGAAAAGGTACAATTCGCGTTTTTGACCACCCTGTGTGAGCAAAAATGAAAATTCGAATAAGTAGCAAATAAGATAATAGCTGAGGTGGGTACGTTTTTTTTTGATACAAAATTCAGCACTCCAAATTTCAGAATGGCTGATTGAGGGGTTGCCGAAGTGGGGAGTTTTTCTAGACAAAACACCTTATATCTCAGTAGCTAATCACCAAAGCGCCATAGTATGTTATATCAATTTTCTTCTTTAGAATTGGTTTATCCAAATACGCAATAAAATTTGATGCATTCCATTTGAAAAATCACAACTTTGATATGTAGGTCGAAATTGGGACACCCTGTATAATAGCCAATATTTTTGAAATGTGATCTCAAATGTCATGTCCTTAAATAGATTTTCCCAAAATTTGTTTATGAGTAATATTCCGTCCACACATGGCTGGGCCACCCTGTATAATACAGCAACTTATGCCTTCTGTGAAATGTAACCCGTTCCCTGGACGAATTGATATTGACCACTAATTTTTTTTGAACCCCTGGCACTCTTCAATTTTTGATCGCCCGCTCTTCAATTTTTGATCGCCCGCTCTTCAATTGTTGTCACAAAGGTATCCACTCTCAGAAGTCCCGATAATTACCCGCACATGATATATTAATCGTATTTCATACATCATAGATTTCCATGTACACTTGCACTTCAAACTTAGAATGGTGCTTCTGCTCTCTGTGTTTCATTGGCGTCACGATGTCCATGAGTGTTCTGCCGTTACTGCCGCGCTGCCGAGTCTGACGCATCATGTGGTGTGGTAAAGGCCAGGGGCGACGTTGCCAGATGGACGGTACTATCGATAGGGTACAGAAAGAATGTCTATGGACTAATTGTATGGGCCTGTTAGACTGATCTGTTTAATTTTTTTTTTTTTATATAAAGGTTCGTAGCTAACCTTTCTCTCACCGGGTATAATCCTTTATGAACCAATGACCAACGTTGCATGGGTCGTACAGAGTCAATCCAATTGGCATCATTTTATGATTGATTTATGGTATCCGATGCAACTAGCCCTTGACCATAGCCTTGGCTTTAGGATAAAAGTGAAATAGTACAAGTTGGAATACCTCTAGTAATAGTACACCTAATAACTAAGTTTGAGTAGGGGAGAGAAATTTTTAACTCCTTAGACTACAAGAATCGACAAGATGACGAAAAAAGGTAAAGAAGTAGTAGCGTAATGTTATCAATTCAATCAATCAAGTTATCAATTTCTAAATTCGTTGAAATAATTCGTCATGCCGCCTACCCTTGTAAAGATTCGTCGCATCCATAAAATAGAAATAAACATAAAAACTAAGGGCAGAACAAACACTCGCATCTGCAAACCACCCAGTGAACGCCAAGGGAAACCAAATTCATATTACGAAGAAAATAGATAATAGAACCGGATACTATAAAGTTGGACTTTTAAAATATGCCGGGACAAAAACAGGGTTTGGACATATATTCTGTAATAACATTTGGTGGGTATAACTATATAGTTACAACCAAAGGAGTGCCGAGAAATTTGAATCTCAACCATTTGGTTAGCAGATGTTAGAAACTACTCCGAGCGCTGAACGGTCACGCATCAGAGGCGTATCATGGGATATCTAAGACTTCCGAAGGCTGGCATATTACTAAAAATTGTCATGATTGTGGGAAAATATGAAAAAGAGGAGACAAACAGCTAGGTTTTTAGTAGAATTTTCCCCTAGCTGATAGGAGCAGGTGCGCCAGGCTGGATACGATTCTACCTTCTGTCAACGTACGCGTTGACAGATGCGGTTTGGAAATTATCATTAGAGAGGAGCAGGTGAAACTAACGAAAGACTGCGTAGTTCCAATGAAGCTAATTTTGTTAAAAATATATAAAAAAAATCCAGAAGAGAGTTACCGTCAGTTTTACCTAAATGCTATGTATAATTTTCTAATTATTTAAGAGGACATCTCGAATTGTTTCTTCAGCATTACAGGAATTTCCAATCCATTGAAATTATTGAAAACTGTAGGGTTTGCCCCAAAGCAATTAAAGCCTCGAGACGCCACTGAAGGGGGCGTGTTGCGTAAACTTAAGGGAAGTCTGTACGCTGACGACACTCCTTGAGGTTGGACAAGGGAACGTAATTAACCAATAGAGTTTAAGGTCATTCTGAGTTCAAAAATTAAGTCTAACAATCATTGGTCAGGTTAGTTTCCATCTTTAGAGAATCAGACGTCCATTGCAAGGGTCATAAGCTGATCGACCAATGAGGAGACAAGGGCTGAACTCACTAAGACAAAATGACCAGCCTTCTGATAGAGGGGAAAATCCGCAACTGACCTCTGATAATTTTGAAACTAAAAACTTCAGTTCTTCTCTTATCTTTGATTTGTACGGTTGAAAAAGTTGCTTCGATTTTCCCTCAGTTAGTGGCTGTTAATAAGTGTTGCATTGGTAGAATTTGTGTCAAGTTGTGTTCTCATCAGTAAGCACTTCCAGTTACTTAAAAGGGGGCTTTTCCCTTCTTTATTAGCCCTTCTGGCTAAAGCTAACACCGAGTCAACTAAGGATTCTATGCATTAACTTGATTAATTAGCATTGTAATGTTGAGATTCTAGAGTTTAATTTTGCTATTAGGTTCAAACTTAAATTTATTGTAATTTAGTTTCACTCCTCCAGTGATCTTTTTCCCAGCCTATTAGTTTTACGAAGGTAACTGTTCTTTGTCATTGCTACTTCACTCTCCACGAGTGTATAGATTTTTTGAGTCTGTAATTCAATTATTAATAAAAATGAGTCTCCTTTAACTTGAGTTCCATTAATTTCATTAACTGAAGCTAACTGAGTTCGAGGGTTCCGAAAGTATTCATTCGTGCGTTTAGCACATTCTCTGATTACTTGGAGAACAGAGGAAGCATCGTTCCGCGTAAACTGAGTGTTTCAATGAGTCAAGATTACATTACCTTATGTCAGGTTCTACGCGAGTCTACCTCCTATAGGAAGACAAGTAAAAGGTAACAGAATTTAAAATTCAAGGGGTCTCGGACCAGTCCAGAAATTGAAGTATTGGACTGGAGATCCGAACTATATATTCAAGGCGAGAGGTCCGGGAGTCTCGGACGAAGATCTTGTTACAGTAACTTGTCATCATGAAGCAATTATATAACGATATTATCAAAAACATTCACTGTCGCAAAAATTGTAGTACTTTTTTATACAAAATATCACGGCGAAAAGAGCACAGATTTGCATCGGAAGACGAGCTGGGAGACATTAGGTGACTGTGTACTAAGTGACATATAAATCCGAACACCCAGTTTAAATGGTTTTATTTTAATAAAATTTTGTATAAGTACTTAGTGAAGCATAATAAGTAAATGATAAAAATTTCAAAATGATTGCACTGCTTTAAAGTCCTTTGACCTTTAATAATGTGTGGATGCACCCTGATGTGCTACGCATTCTCCAACGCGCCTAGGCATGCTTCTGATCAGGTGGTCAATGTCCTCCTGTGGTATCTCATTCCAGGCAACCACCAACTCCTCTCGAAGTGCTTCTAGAGTCTGAGGAGGACGTTGCAAATTGAGCAATCTCCTACACATCATATCCCACACGTGCTCAATTGGGGATAAGTCGGGAGATCTTGGTGGCCATGGTAACAATGTGACATCATTATGTTGAAAGAAGCCTATTGTGACTCTTGCAACATGTGGTCGGGGATTATCTTGTTGCCTAAACAAAATCGAGACTCGTCACTAAAGACAATACTGTTCCATTCCTGATCCCAGAGTGACCGTTGTCTGCACCACTCAAGGCGATTACGTCGGTGTTCTCGAGTTAAAGGGAGGACCCAGTGTGGCCGGTATGAAAACAAGCCAAAACTTTTCATTCGTCGGTAAACACTTCGCATGCCAATAGGTCTTCAGTGTTCTGCAAACCATTCATTTGCAATGGACCTGGTAGTGGAGAAACGGTCCCTTAAGGCCAATAATCTGCAGTGCCCCTTGCTCTTTGCGTACGGCCTTCTCGAAGCCATGCCTGACAACACCTAACCACAGTGTCTACACTTCTTTGCGCTCTAACTGCAATTGCCCGAAAAGAAAGTCCAGCTTCCCGAAGTCCCACTATACGGCCCCTATCAAACTCACTAAGTTGACGAAATCGTACAGGTCTCTACTCTAGGCATCGTAACCGATCGTAAAGGATGTCAAGAACCAAAATCCGCCAACGTTGATTCTTTACTGCGGCTGAAATATTCATTTTTAGAGCGTTAGTGAATTAAAAAAAAGCAGTATAAAAACCGGAATGCCCAACTGATAAGGCTGAAAATTTTTTCACTTGTTTTATTTACAGTAAGATAAATATATTCACCAACTTTTATTAAAATAAAACCATTTAAACTGGGTGTTCAGATTTATATGTCACTTAGTATATTTAGCAGTAATGGGAGCGCTAGTTTGATGATTCGTTCTTGCGTATGATGGAAACCATTTTGAGAAACAATAAATAGTTTTTTAACATGAAAAAACCGATGCGATGTGAATTATTGTATTTAATCAGTGCATTTTATTTTCCAGATATGCAATAGGAACAATAGAAAACTCTCCCGGAATGCGGCATCTGATAAAAATAATGGACAGCAAAAGTCCTCCCGAGTGGGAGTGTCTGACCTGCAGACCGGAAATCGATGTAAATTCTACTTTTCCGGAAAACTTAAATGAAACTGTGATAAGTCATAGTCTTTGGCTGGACTACCCTTGCGATTACAATAACGTAATCTTTAGCAAAAATTACAAGTACTACATCCAAGAATGTCTTGGACCGGAAATACCTATAGTTTTGTTAGTGAAGACTTCTACGAATGCCAGAAGAGCTATTTTGGATACTAGTTTTAAGCTTAGGAGAAAAGTAAGTACTAACTATGATATTGTAGATGATACCAATTTCAAGGCCTAGAGCAACTTTGGGATGCAGAAACGGCCACTCCTATAGTCCAATAAAACAAAACATGTAAGATCCCATCATGAAATAAATTAGAGTTTAAAAAAAACGAACAAAACACGCACGCTAACAAGTCAAACCAAGAAGTAAAAAATAATTTTTAAGTATAGGAGTGTTTGCGTTACTGCAATAGAAAGTCCATAAATCATGTATGACTAATTAGTTTGTAAAAAAATCGATATAAAAATTAATTATAGTAAAAAAGCGTAGTGCTTGTTATTAAACGTTGGAATTATTTCTTCACCAGGTATCTGGAAAATTGGAGTTGAAAATATAGTTAATTGCACCACACGCTTTCTTACTATAATTGAATTATTTTAATATCCTAGTTTTTGTGTTGATCTAATTCCAAATCATACATGATTTTTTTACTTTGTATTGGAGTACAACAAACTCTCCTATACTTGCAAATTATTGTCTGGTTTTTAGTTTGATTTGTTATTAAAGCGTGTATTTTTTTAAAACTACAATTTATTTCTGAATGTTTAGTCCCAAAATGAAAACAAAAGTACTTATCATCAAGAGCTTCGATTTTTTATATATTTTCAAAATTTCAAAATGTTTTCAACAAAATTTCTAGTTTTTCTCAAAATTTCCTAATCTTGAAATTATTTCCAAATTTTTCAACTATTTTTCAAAGTTTCAAATTAACTTCCTTTCCTATTTTAAAATTTTCTAATTCGATGTTTTTTTAACAAGATTATTTATTATCATCAGCCCTTGACCAATTTTTCAAGTTAATCACATTTTTTTAAAGTTGTGAAAATTAGGTTGAAAGAATCTGTCACATACAAATACATTTGTACATACAAAAATACATAAATACAAACATACATACAAACATACATACACACACACACAAACATACATATATGTACATACAAACATACATACAGGCATACAGGGCAAGCTAATAAAAGCGTGTTAAAATAGCGTTGCAGAACACAAAATATTCCAATGGATTGTGAGAGATTCATTCAAAGACGGCGTTTAATAACAATTCTCTTAAGACTTTATTCGGAACCTTTTGTTAGTGTAATATCCCTTGTTTTGTATATATCTTACCTGATTTCTTCAATTTTTTAGGTAAGAAAATTTTCACCGCCGCAAGTGAAAACAATATCTGTAGAGATAGAATACGGTTTCAAAGCACAAGTGAGGTTATTTCTTCCAGGCGTCTTAAGAGAATATGAAGAAACAACCTTCCCACTTATACTTCTAGTGTAAGTATGCTACTCGCACGGCAGTCATTATACTTAATAATATACACAACGCAAAATATTTCACATTGTTCGTAATAATCACTGTGCTTAGGGATATTTTCAGCCAAAAATCATTGAATTTTCATGTACGTCTCGCATTTAGATAGGGATTCCACTTATATTTTTACTTCCAACGCCCCTAAGCAAGGAACTGTTGTAATTGCGAAAAACTTCGAAACTGAGATATTGTGTTTCTTGGACGTTATGTGACATGTACGTCACGAAAAACTGTCAGTTATTTCCGGCGGTCAGTTTGTCTGTCTATCAGTCTGTCTGCCCGCTAATCCTTGGTTCGTCTTTAACGTGAGAAGTACCGCTCGGATTTTGATGAAATTTTCACACAAGGTTAATACCATGCCGGGGCCGAAAATGCATTGTACTTTTTAAACATCGGTAGCGGCAGAGAAGAAAGCGAAAAACGGAAACAATAAAAATTCGCTCAAACTTTGTTTTTTGACGTTCCAATCATTTTAAGAAAATCTTTGGTAGCGGTTAAAATTAGAGGGTTGGGAGTTGTGAGGGGTGGGGAAGGGTATGTTTTGATCTTAGTATTTTTGTACCCTCCCACCTATTACCCATGTTTCACACATCATAGATTTCACGGTACATTTGCCTTTAAAAATGTTTTCGATCCGCGTACTCGTGCTATCTAAGCTCACCGCCCTACGAACCTGTCTCAAAGAATTTGAATCGCGCTGACCTTAATTCCTTTATGAACAGATGGCGGCGGTGCGTAGAAAGTGCAGAGTCAACCTACTTGACGCCATATTTTCTTCTTAGCGGTAGGTCGCATAATATGTTGCCTTAAGAAAACTCCACCTTATGCAGTTTTTCCAGCTTACGCTGATGATATCTTGATGGGGAACATTAGTAACACAAACCACGTACTTCGGAGTTTCTCAGAAGAAAACGGACAGAAAAAGAAGTTGTACATTCTCCCTCACGCATTTAATTTGAAAGTTTTGGCTAAGTTTGACAAACTTCCTTTATACTGCAGAAACGTTACGTCAGCCTCAAAGTTTTTATAGGTTTTTAACGTTCCGTTGAATTGCTTGCTTTTCACAAAATGCAGTCGCAATTTCGCTCACTTGAAAAAAAAACTTTTTATAGTGAGACGGTGAGATGGTTAGGGAGAGAATTGAGCCATAAAAAAGCAAATGCGTATACATATAGGCGGTTTTTATGGCGCTTATGTGTTTTACTTCCACAGGTTCCTGTCACGGATATGCGTATAGTGCGCTATACGAGTATATATGAGACCGTAAATCTTTCTCCTTGTATGAGCCTAACATATGTTTTCTATAACCGACCGAAAAAAATGCGTTTTATTTCTGTCAGTCGTACATGCAAAATTCCACAAGGATCAATCGAAACCGACAGGTTTGCCGCAATAGAGCGACAAAGTAGCGAAACTATCATAGTTGCTATACGAGCCCCTTCCCACGTCAGTTGGCTCACTTCAAGATTTGTACCAAAATATGCCTTTATAAACTAAACATGACAAAACTATTTACTTCTAAAACAATTTATTTTCTCAAAAACATTTTAGATACACTCTAGTAGTAAAAGTTAACAAAGCAACAATTGAAAGATTACCATTGGGTAACATCACCTTAATTTTTTATTACGGCTGAAATTCTTTGGGGCTTAGTGTTTACCAAGTATTGGCAAAAATTTGGTGTTAAACAATCCCATATTTCTTGAAGCTTTTGTCTCAGTTCGGTGATTGTACGAGCAGGATGTTGCCGTAGAACCTTTTTCATCTCGTGCCACAAAGTTTCAATAGGTGACAGATCTGGACTGCTAGAAACCCATTTCAAAAGTGGTACATTATTTTCTTCCATCCATTTTATAGCGTTTTTTGAGGTATGGCACAAATCTTGGCCGAATGTCAAACATTCTTCCATCACTGGTAAAAGCGATTCTTCTAAAATTGCCAAATATTTGTTTGTATCCACATTTCCATCAATAAAATGAAGTTTTCCTACTCCTTGATGACATACTGCCCCAGACCATAATGGATGCTGGAAATTTCACTCTTCTCTTCAGACAGTCAACACGGAATGCTTCATTTTTTTTTGCGAATAACTCTACTGCGACCAACACAACTTCGAATCGGGCCTCATCACTCCATTGTATTGCACACCATTGTTGAGGTGTCCATTGTCGATGTTCTTTAGCGCAACTAAGCCGATTTTTCTTTTGCAGTGGAGTTAATAGTGGCTTTTCTTTGGCCTATAAACAAGTTGTGCAACTTTAGGGTTTTTACTTCACTTTTTTTATAAGAAAACTTACACTGCAAGTGCTAAAACCCAGTTTGTGGGCCTCTCTATGAGTTGTGGACCTCGAAATTCTCCTTCCAACAGCGTCACTCCACAGAGCACTTAATTGTAAATAATTGGCACGCCTGTTTTTCACGATTATTCTTCATAATTCTCTTCGGTCGGCATTTGTGATATTACTTTTTTTCACATATCGTGGCTTAATATTAACTGAACCAGTTACGTTATATCTTCTAACAATATTTCGCACACTGTGCCGCGATAAGTCTAACAAAGTTGCAATTTCTGAGTTTGATCTCCCAGAATTAAAAAAATTAATTATCAGTAACAGAATTTTCTCACTAATAACCTTTCCTATACCCATTTTGAAAACCTTAACTACCCAAAACTATTTTAAACGTATTCTGACAGCTGTGATTAATAAAACAATTGTAAATGCTTTTATTTTTCTCAGCCACCTATGCGTTATAGACTTATTTTGCATTGAAATGAAAATAGGTTCATATGCTGTAATTGCAACATGTGTTATTTTTATGCTGCAAATTTGATTAGGGAGTGATAAAGTTTGTGTTTTCTACTATATATTTTCAAAATATTCATTGTTAATATTTTAAACCTATAACACATTGCTACATTTTTATTATTTGTGTTTGATAAGAAAAAAACTAAGATTTTAATAGTTGGCCCAACTGAAGTGGGAAGGGGCTCGTATAATGGTAATCTCGAATAATTACTTCGAAATCTGGCGTAACTCAAAAGTTACAGCTTTTTTTGGTGTTTTTACCTATTTTTTCTCCCCTTTTGAAGCACTGAAGGGTTGTTGCGGATGATCAAATTTTATGCGCTTCAGTTTTTTGTCCAAAATAATCGATCAGCGTCAAATAATTCTGGAAATTAGGGGACATTTAAAATTCGGAGGGAGTATCGAACGTCAGCATCATTTCAACCCATAAATGAGGGTAATTTTTCAATATTTTCAGAAAACAAAAAGTAATGCCCCTTTTGATTTTTGATAGATACTAACTTGACTTCTCCTCAAATTCTGAATCCAATGAGCAAATACAGGCAAATTTTGGGGCCAAAAGAGTTCTGAGGGTTATTTTAGGGTCCTTGTTTATATGAACTTTCAGTGTTAATTTTGGGCCTACTCCCTGCTCTAGATATATTACTTATTCATCCACTGTCAATCACTCAGTTTGGTGTTTTGTGAAAATTGGTTACATTACATACCTCATTTCCTGACTTAAGCTATGCTCAAACGGATACAAGCATTTCAACGAAGATTAAACTCAAAATATATATATTTTTTTGTTTCATAAAATTATTTTTCCTTTTCTTAGTGATGCCGCTCCGTCTTCCCAAGCCGTTTCTTCCAAATGGGAGCTGTCATGGCCATGGTACCTCTCAAGTACTAGGAATTATATTGTAGCACAAATTGACGCAAGAGGGTCAGGATTCCAGGTATGGAATTTAACTTGCCATAAATTCAAGCGTTTTTCATTTTCCATAGGTTCGTCAAGTTACTATTAACCTTATATACTAAGTGACATATAAATCCGAACACCCAGTTTAAAAGGTTTTACTTTAATAAAATTTTGTATAAGTACTTAATGAAGCATAGTAAGTAAATGATAAAAATTTCAAAATGATTGCACTGCTTTAAAGCCCTTTGTCCTTTAATAATGTGTGGATGCACCCTGATGTGCTACGCATTCTCCAACGCGCCTAGGCATGCTTCTGATCAGGTGGTCAATGTCCTCCTGTGGTATCTCATTCCAAGCAACCACCAACTCCCCTCGAAGTGCTTCTAGAGTCTGAGGAGGACGTTGCAAATTGAGCAATCTCCTACCCATCATATCCCACACGTGCTCAATTGGGGATAAGTCGGGAGATCTTGGTGGCCATGGTAACAATGTGACATCATTATATTGAAAGAAGCCTATTGTGACTCTTGCAACATGTGGTCGGGCATTATCTTGTTGGAAAGTTGGATCTACCAGGGTGTCAAGATAGGGTGAAAGATGGGATTCTAGAACTTCGTGGATATAACGCTGCGCGTTCATGTTACCTCTGATGAAGATTAAAGGTGACCTGGAACCATAAGCTATAGCACCCCAAACCATAACTCCAACAGTGTGATGAACATGTCTTTTAACAAAAAACTGTGGATTCCTCCTTTCACCACGTCGCCTTCTAATCCTGGCACGACCATCGTGCATGCCTAAACAAAATCGAGACTCGTCACTAAAGACAATACTGTTCCATTCCTGATCCCAGAGTGACCGTTGTCTGCACCACTCAAGGCGATTACGTCGGTGTTCTCGAGTTAAAGGGAGGACCCAGTGTGGCCGGTATGAAAACAAGCCAAAACTTCTCATTCGTCGGTAAACACTTCGCATGCCAATAGGTCTACCGTGTTCTGCAAACCATTCATTTGCAAGTTGACGAAATCGTACAGGTCTCCGTACATTCACCAACTTTTATTAAAATAAAACCATTTAAACTGGGTGTTCGGATTTATATGCCACTTAGTATATTAAAGCTTAATAGGAAAGGTACTATGAAAAGTTGCTAGTGACTGGCTACTGATTATTCAGGACACTCTTACAGGAAATAGACTTCAGCTTATCGGGCTGCCTTTTTAGAAAGTGTAATAAATTAGAAGAAGCTGCAATGCATAGTTACCCTGACTTGACAAATAGGAAATCCTCCTTGACAAATCGAGAGAAGTTAATGAGCATAATACAAAGGAGCGCGCTGTTCATTAAGAACTTGGAATATGACTCTTCCTGGTACTTTTTGGAAGATACGTTAAAAGTTTTGATTACGTTATCGGATAGGTTGACAGTATGCTGTAAACGACATCTTCAAAATGTTTCGGGAATTGAATACATGGAGACATTTTGTAAGCGATTTTTCATCAGATAGATCCAGTGAATCGGTTTTCGTTTAAAATACTTTTGTCAGAGTTTTACCGCATTATTTCTCCAGTTATCGCAGGATGTTGTTCATTATAAAAAAATATGTGGATGTAAATTCAATTTATTATGAGACGATTGTGCGGTTAGTAATAATTTCTATACTCATATGACATGAAGGGCTTCTTCCGTTGACTTTTGTCAGTTTCTAAAATCCATCTCAAAAAGCAATGTACCAAGAATTTTTTACGCTTTTCTCATTTTTCCAGTCTTAGATATTTTGAGTATGATATGTACCATGAGATCGCTAACTCAAAAACCCAATGTCCATATGTAGTTGTGTGCATTCTTTCATGTTCAAAATTATGATTTTTTTTTCAGGAAAATTTGCGAAAATAGTATAAACTGCCTGTTCACTGAATTTCTTCAATTTTTAACATTGCATTGCAGGAAAGACATATTTGACTGACACATTAACCGATTGTATGAATGCGTTATTTAAGTTGTTTCCAGTTTCGTTGTCCAAATCATGATTTCTTGTCAAAAAAATTGACAACATGCGGAAAAAGCGAATTTTCGTCTGTTTTTCTCGATTTTTGAAGTTTTTTAGGGTCGTATGTTATAATTTGGCTGACTCAAATACCCAATATGCATATGTGCTTTTGTTTATTCTTCCAGGATCCATTGTTAAAATTGTGATTAGTGGTGCGGAAAATTGTGAATAAGTAAAACCGCATTTTTGCTAATTTTCTTCAATTTTTAACATTATAGGTCAGAAAAGGTTTACTTGCCCAACTCAAAAATCTACCTATATCTATGTGCATAGATTAAATTTTTGAGTTAGCGAAATGTCCAAATTTGGTAAAATCGGTGAAACGTGCAACAAATCAGAATTTTATCAAAGAAACCTGGAAGATGCATAAAACACATACGGTCACGAGCTTTTGGTTAGCCAAGTTATGATATCAAATTTTAAAAGTACCTCAAATTGGAAAACTCGGTGGTAATAAGTTTTTCCAATTTTTGCCAATTTTTCGGATTAAGAAATCATTATTTTAACAGCGGAACTGAAAAGAATGTAAAAAATTCATGTATACAATAAGTTATCAGGTTAGCCAACTATTTCCTTCTCAACCTCAAGCATCAAAAACTGAAGAAAATCAATGAAAATGTTTTTTTTTCTATTATCGCGATTTTTCGGGAACCATATCAGATATTTTGATTGTGGAACCAGAAGAATAGACAAGAATACATATATAGGCTGGGTTTTTAAATTTAATTCATCAATACCATACGTTTAAAATGCAGCTTTTCTGATTTTTGATGATTTTACGGGCAAAAGTGATTTGCTATTGGACCTAAAATCGCAAGAAAGCAAGGAAATACAGCAGATATAATATAATAATGCTTTTCTCGGATCTATAGGTTCCACAAATCTATAAAAAATCAGGTATGTAGGATACAACAGTGTAGCATCGGTTTCAAGTTTTTTTGATCAAAATTGCATCCGTAACAATATTATTGAAAAAACACGTTGACATCTTTTTGAAGTGAGAGGTTTCTAGATGCGACCATACGAAATGAAAATTTGGCTAAGATAATTTCGACAAATATAAGTACCTAAAATTGGAAAACTCAATGGTAATGAGTTTTTCCAATTTTTGCCAATTTTTCGGATTAAGAAATCATTATTTTAACAGCGGAACTGAAAAGAATGTAAAAAATTCATGTATACAATAAGTTATCAGGTTAGTCAACTGTTTCTTTCTCAACCACAAGCATCAAAAACTGAAGAAAATCAATGAAAATGGGTTTTTTCCTATTATCGCGATTTTCCGGGAAGCATATCAGATATTTTGATTGTGGAACCTAAAAGAATATACAAACTTACATATATACGTTGGGTTTTTAAATTTAATTAGCCAATATCATACGTTTAAAATGTAAAAAATTGGAGATTGAGAGATTGAAGAATCGATGAAAATGCAGCTTTTCTGATTTTTGATGATTTTACGGGCAAAAGTGATTTGCTATTGGACCTAAAATCGCAATAAAGCAAGGAAATACAGCAAATATAATATAATAATGCTTTTCTCTGATCTATAGGTTCCACAAATCTATAAAAAAATTAGGTATGTAGGATACAACAGTGTAGCATCGGTCATTTTTTTAAGTTTTTTGATCAAAATTGCGTCCGTAACAATATTTTTGAAAAAAACACGTTAACATCTTTTTGAAGTGAGAGATTTCTAGAGGTGACCGTTCTAAATGAAAATTTGGCTAAGATAATTTCAACAAATATAAGTACCTAAAATTGGAAAACTCGATGGTAATAAGTTTTTCCAATTTTTGCCAATTTTTCGGATTAAGAAATCATTATTTTAACAGCGGAACTAAAAAGAATGTAAAAAATTCATGTATACAATAAGTTATCAGGTTAGCCAACTGTTTCTTTCTCAACCACAAGCATCAAAAACAGAAGAAAATCGATGAACATGTTTTTTTACTATTATCGCGTTTTTTCGAGAACCATATCAGATATTTTGATTGTGGAACCTAAAAGAATAGACAAGAATACATATATGGGCTGGGTTTTTAAATTTAATTAGCCAATACCATACGTTTAAAATGTAAAAAATTGGAGATTGAGAGATTGAAGAATCGATGAAAATGCAGCTTTTCTGATTTTTGATGATTTTACGGGCAAAAGTGATTTGCTATTGGACCTAAAATCGCAAGAAAGCAAGGAAATACAGCAAATATAATATAATAATGCTTTTCTCTGATCTATAGGTTCCACAAATCTATAAAAAAATAAGGTATGTAGGATACAACAGTGTAGCATCGGTCATTTCTTTAAGTTTTTTGATCAAATTGCGTCCGTAACAATATTTTTGAAAAAACACGTTAACATCTTTTTGAAGTGAGAGATTTCTAGAGGCGACCGTTCTAAATGAAAATTTGGCTAAGATAATTTCAACAAATATAAGTACCTAAAATTGGAAAACTCGATGGTAATAAGTTTTTCCAATTATTGCCAGTTTTTCGGATTAAGAAATCATTATTTTAACAGCGGAACTGATAAGAATGTCAAAAATTCATGTATACAATAAGTTATCAGGTTAGCCAACTATTTCCTTCTCAACCTCAAGCATCAAAAACTGAAGAAAATCAATGAAAATGGTTTTTTCTTATTATCGCGATTTTTCGAGAACCATATCAGATATTTTGATTGTGGAACCTAAAAGAATAGACAAGAATACATGTATAGGCTGGGTTTTTAAATTTAATTAGCCAATATCATACGTTTAAAATGTAAAAATTGGAGATTGAGAGATTGAAGAATCGATGAAAATGCGGCTTTTCTGATTTTTGATGATTTTACGGACAAAAATGATTTGCTATTGGACCTAAAATCGCAAGAAGGCAGGGATACATACCAGATATAATATAAAAATGTTTTTCTCGGATTCTACAAATCTATAAAAAAATAAGGCATGTAGGATAGAACAGTGTAACGTCGGCCATTTTTTCAAGTTTTTA